TCCGTTATCGATCTCTCCCTCCATACTGTTACATTATATTTTAAAAATATCACCTTATCCCATCCCGTTGTATGGTTGTGTGTAATTGCATTTACTGCTATAGACGAACTATTTGGGTAAATTAATCTAGATCTAGCTTGGTTTTTGTGCTCCGCTGGCCTGACTGACCCTGTTCAACTACTCTGACCTATGTGTTTGGCCTGACAATCATTAGAGCATGGTGTTAGATAAATTTAGTTGTTTTGTTTGGCTGGCTCAACGGGATCCTTTAACCAACAAAACCTTTTTCTAATTGAGTTTGTGGCTCTAAATGGCACTTTATTCCTGCCTTGTTAGGAATTGTGCATGAGGTTTCTGAGGTTCCTTCTTTGCATGAAAGTACTATTGATGACTGATATTCATCATTGTCGATCTTGTCATTATTCTGTCCATGCCTGACATGCATGTCGCCATTATTATTATCATCATCACTATCGCTGGCTAACATTCTGAACAAGAAGTATTCTTGATCTGAAATAAAGAAGCAACTGGTTTTCAAACAGTTATCAATGTATTACACAACTTACATGTACAGTCTGCCATGCTGACGCAAATGGCGCAAATGGATAGTTCTAGAATTGACCCCATTTGATGCAGTAAAACAATCTAACATTACCTTATCTAATTTTCGTATCAAAGATCAAATTTCTTTCCTATTATAAAACTACGATAAGACTGCTCACAAAAATGGAATAAATACATTATTGCCTCAAAATAATACATCAATAAACTTTATCTCACGGATGCTGTTCACAACAAAGTTTTATAGGAGAATTGACTTCAAGCTTTATTTTTCCCAGATATTTGTATTACATTCATCTGAAGTCTGGGTTTTTTGTTAATGCGAAGACAATATTTCTATATCTCTTTATGTGTTACACAGACAGACTATTTTGCAGACTGTTCTGACTGACTCTAATGTTAGATTGAACAAACAAACTGTAATTTATATAATAACTTATCCATGCCTGTACAATTGGTATGTTCCTGCATAAACAGGAATAAATATAAATATATTATTATTTATGTCAAATTAATCAGGGAGTATGTAGGAAAATGCAAAAACAGTGGTGACAGTGGAATTGATAATAATGTAACAGTATGGAGGGAGAGATCGATAACGGAAGCTTTGCTTATCGAATCAACTGCAGACACGTGTAATGTGAATGGCTCAACACTTGACCCAAATATCTGTAAAATTCTACCACTCCCATGACAAATCAGGAGGAACAAAGAAAACTCTAAAACTCAAGTTTTGAAGTCGTGTGATATGATTATGAACAAAAACTTGTGTTCAAAACGTAATCCAGTAAAAATACTCTTTCCCTGTGTTATATATTTTGGAGGCTGAAGGTATCGACGTTCACGAATTGTACGGAGTATACTGACGCAAGATCTTATACCAACAACTTCTATAATATTCGTTTGTCGTGTACCAAAGACAAAGAAAAAGACCAGAGTTAGTCATTCAAAGTACGATATATATTTCGGGACCAAATCAGGAATCGTATTGATTGCTTAGCTGGCTAGTGGTGCACGCACGTGATACGACGGAGTACCAAATGGCGAGGATGCTTGACTGGAAGCCTTCAGCTAAACAAGTCGACTTAAACAGTGAGGCTCAGCATCCAATGTTGAGTGATGATTGGTGTGGTCAATAATTTTGGGGAATTATTTACCGCTACAATATCTAAAAGATAATGTAACATGAGGTCCTGATTTCGACATTTCAAAGAATTCTACTCGCAAAAATCGCTGAAACAGCGATTGAGGGCTCATCTCTGTGTTGGGCTTGAACTCACTTGGAGGACGGAATTTCACACAATTGTGAATAAAGTATTGAAAGGAGAAATCCCAAGTCTTCTGTTATTCTTATATTTCACGAACCATCTCCCAAATAACTTAGGTCGCTGAAAGTTCTCCTGCTCATTTAGTGTACAGCTTTGAAGAGGAGTAAGACAGGTGGAAGATTTCGTCAAGCCACAAGAGGAAGCGAATATCTTGTAGAACTGGACCACAGAGAGTATGTTTTCATAGTAAGATGCGAGTATCAGCCAAAATATGCACCAAAAGGCTACCAAAACCATTATGAGACTGCAGTTTCAGACTTTTGGTGACCAACTAGATCTGTTTACCTCTAGTTGCTGAAGAATTAAGGACGACCTTATTACGGCATATAAAACATTGCATAGCCGAAGGTGGCCATCCTTAAGCATACTGTGGTGTCCACCGGTGTGGCATCAGATTTCATGCGGTCTGACGTCTTTTCCTCTACAGTTTATCGTTCAAGTTACTCACCGTCCACAGATATGGCGAATGGCTTTGCCAGTCGGTGGCCTCGAGATAGGGTAAAAGCATAACAAAATACACCAGTTTAGGAATCAATAATAAATAAAGTAGACAATATATAGGGGGCTATGCTGGTACTAAAGACGCGCCACTTACATATATAACTGCTTTGTTCAGCCTTCGTTACCTCTGCCCCTACTCATCGTGTTCCTCTTAGTCATTTCTTCCAATGTGTGCATATGCCCCACATTTTCACTTGTCTCCAAGCCAAGCATCTTGCCATTCTTTCCTTTTGTTCAGTCTACTCACGTTATCAGTTCCCCAAACGCCTTCTTAGTGCCGCAATCACAAGAGTGTTTACCTACCACAGAGGAGTACTATTCGGAGAAATGAAGTTTGCCAGGCCGTGGAACGCCGTTGCCCTGGTACGACTTGTGCATTTGTATGGGGCTGGTAAGGCTGCAGATAAGCTAAACTATGCCAACTCTGCCCCAGTGAAGTTTGCCTGTCGCTCAGTAAAAACACTACTCCGCCTATCTCTCAAGTACTGATGACAAGACGCAAATTGAAAAGACTCTGACAATCAATAATGTGCTCTCTCAAGCAATATACTTGGATATGATAGGAATTCAAGATAATTCTGGGAAAACGGTGAATTAACTTGTGTAGTTCGAAAGGCTGTAAGACTGATTAAAAGAATGTGATAATACGATTCGCGTGGACTGTTTCAGACGTACTATTCCCGTAATATTGACTGCACTGTGATAGGAAGTAAATCGAATCGCTTATCTTAGTGTCTGTTCCGCTTCGAATCTGTAATGGTCGTCTGGTTTCTCAGAAAATTTTTCGTGTGACTTATAACATAAAGTAGTTGAGACTTTCTGTCACAACTCGCCCGCTTCTCTTACAATTTGTCATTTTATACATTCTCCCAATATTAGTATTATTTTTGGCCTGTTCTCCCCTGGAATTCCTAAAACAGACTACATTACATAGAACACTGAAGGCTGTAATTACGTTAGTGGCATCCCGGTGACTCTGATAACTGACATTATTGTCGATAGGCATTTCACTTATTGCAAGCATTTGGATAAAGCTATCGTGTCTGATACTGAACGTCCTCTTAATTCTAAACTTTCGAACTGTATATCTTCACAACTTCATAAGAAATTTTGCTCGTACAACTAAATGTAAATTTTTTACCGTAACACATACAGGAAGGGTTCTGAGTGGAGTCAGATGTCAGATAAGAACTTATTGTTATTACATGTATTATCTGTGATGCTAACTACTCATACTTCATTATTTTTCCGCCAATATTCTGTTAACAGTTTTTTTATTTATTAATATTAGTATAACTTTTTATATTTAATGTACGTACACATTTATAAAAGATCTAAATTGTTGCATTATGTATAAGCACGATGAGAATTGTATTCTGTATTATTATTGTTTGAAATAAAGTTTTAATTATGGGGATCCTTCAGAGATCTAGAAACAAGGAGGAATGTACATTCTTTGCAAAACTATATTGAGACGAAGGAGGTCTTTCTGAAATCTGGCGTTACTGTGGTTTCACGTGAACAGTATGTTTTAGTTATATTATCGCTTTTCGCCTAGTGAAATAAGCAAAAGTTTTTGTGAATAAAATTACAATTTTACCTGTTTTGGTGAGCCATACCATGCAAGATTGTAGTGTGTTAAGTGACGGGCTTATTCAGAGTAATAATATTGTAGTATGCAGACAGTGTTTTCGCACTAATTTTTGGTCTAAGAGCTTCAGAGCACCATATATGCAAATTTCCTAGTTTCATTGCTGGGCATTCTCAATGATGACACGTTGCTGCAACTTTCATTTATTCTAAGTTTGGACATTTTAACTTCCACTCTGCTGACGAAACATAGCAGGATATATCCGTTGTGCTCCTGAAAGATGCCTGCACTTTTGGGTATTCTGCCCAACATCTTCTACAGTGAATCCAAAATCTGTCAACTGAGTGGAAGTGTTAGACCAGCGTTAATGCAGTTGTAAGTAGAGTCGTGTTATTCTTGTCAGATAAAGCCCAGGGATCAGCTAACTGATCGTCAGTGCAATTTTGCAAAACACAGCAAATCCACCTTACGGAGTTACAGAATTTTGGGCAAAAAGAGAATTAGTTTCACGTTTCAAAATATCCTGCAGAATGTGCAGTTTAGGTTGTTATTGAGATATTCAGTTTCATAGAGTGCCCTCCAGAGAGCCGTTTGGCAAGTCCATTATTCCTATCTCCTACCTCTCAGAGTGAAATGATAACAGCTTGTTTGATTACCGTTCGGAGCAAAAGTCTAACTGATGTTGCGCCTCTTCCCATTGGCAACACAACTTCATACCGTAATAACAGTATAGGCATCTCCATAACAATAGGTACCTGTATCTTCTAAACTTAATCCTTTCAGTTACCTCTGTTGATTGTTCTGTATCCTCTTAATTTTATGTTTTCTTACATTGTGATATCACTCAGGGCATCGAATTGGAATGACGCACGTTTGTGTGACATGTTACATCGGTTCATCAATTCTTGCCAGGTATCTTTTTATTCAACTGTTACGTCAACTAAGACATAAGAAATTGCTTATTATATTACCACCATTTTGTATATCATCACATTTAATCTATATCTTTTTATTTCTAGGATATTATTCAAATGAAGGACCAAGATGATAAGTCTGAAAAATCAAGGCTTAAGGTTTGTAATATAGTGCCTAAAGTTTATTCTTGGCTTTTAGATACTGAAGCGTACTGATTATCTAAGTGATTTAGATGGACTTCTTGTGAACTCTAAAAATTTCAATAAAGTATGTCCTCCAATCCTATTTTATGTAACCTAGGCGGTACTGATTCTAGCTCTTCATACAAAGAACAAGTGAGGAGTGGATTAAGACTCAAGTTGAAAAAATTGTTGAGAGCCGCATTCATTTGTCAAAATTTATTGAAGTTCTGACAAATTTCATTGTATCAGAAAATCATCATCCGCATGTAGTTCAACAAGTACTTGTTTGGTTAAATTATTTCACTGAAAATCATTCTACTTCATTGCAAACACCAGAAATTCAACAGTCACTGAGAAATTTATGTTCATATTGCTATGAAACGTGTACACTGGCAAAAATGTACTTAGAAGCTGCTAATCGTGGTAATGCTGTTGAAAATTGGTCAAATGCTCAAAAATGTAATAGTTATCTTCCCCGCAGATTTTATTATACAATTCTACCAAAAACCAGTTTTGTATATATTGACGGTAAGTATTTCTGGTGACTAATAATATACCGTACATTTAAAATAGCATATTTGTGTCACTAAATAGTTAGCTTCCTAATAGTGGGCTAAGTTTCGGACCCTGTTATATCTAACTAGTTTTCGGCACTCTGCTCGTACTCATCGTTTCACAATAGACGTCAAAACGTTCTGAACATACGAGTGTGGATGCAGTAGTTAAGAAGGAACGACTCATTTTTATGTACCTCTTATTAACCTCCCGAGGCATGTTCTTCGAAAGCCTACGAGAGTTGCTTCTATCTGATCTCCATGATATGTTAGAGAAATATCTGACCAGTAGACTAGCGCTCCTATATTAGTACTACTATTGTGCACTTAAATTCGTCGGAAAAGTGTTTACTTCTCGTTTTCCGTGTAATTTTCTTATGTGTATTTTCCTTGGTTTAAAATTACTTATTAGTCTTCATCTACCTCCTATAGTTGGTATTGTAATTAAAAAACCTTAGGTTATACTTGTCACTGGGAAAGTATAGTGATTGTGTTTTTAATTTGTGTTGAAAGTCTATGATTCAGTTTGAACTTAAATTCTAAGATTTATAATATTATGTGTAAACATTCAAACGGAGTTCAGATGTAATGGCTTGGACACTGGGTATATGGTGTTAACTGTTCTGCGACGTATATCTCAGTTATGGCTCAATAATGAGTGTACTTGACTTTACTGGATACAAATTATATATGTTACAGTATGCATCAGCCGTAAAGTGGCTTTTTGTTATTGGGAACCAATTAGATATGACAAGCATCACCAGTTTATTTTTTGAAATATAGTAATTGCATTTGGAGATGTTACCAGTTGCATCTAATTCGGAGTTTGCTAAACCTACCTCCAAATGAATGAGAATATATTTCTCTAGAGATTTCTTAACGCGGAACTTTTAGTTTTAACTCATTATTATTGAAGAAAAGATTGTCTTTTAACTAAATTTAAAGTGTAAGCCATGGTGAGACGGACAGTTATCAGAATTATTATACTTGCGATTCACTATTTTTTCTTCTGAATATCCCCAGGGCGTATATTGCTCTTGGTCTTGCTGAGCTCCTGTTTCTGATTAGAAAATATAACCACTGTGGTGTGTAATTTTACTGCTCCGATGGAGGAGCAAAATCATATCGTTAGATACACCTGGTCACTGCGTCGGTGCTTCAGCGGTAGAATAGTCGCCAACCAAGCAGATGCTCTAGGGGTTGAATTTTGGCCAGCGCACTCCTAAATCTCACTTAGCCGGTGGTAAGCCTGATGTTAAAGGGAGACGGTTAGCTGTGGGGATGGCAACACCAACTGCTACTAAGACTCCAAAGGTGAAACTTAAAACGTATTGTTCTACTCGAAACTTAAAGGAAAACAAGATACTTAGTTGATATCTATACGAACATATTACAAAAAAATCATTTATGGTAAACATGCAAAATTATATACTGCTATTCATGTCTTATTTGACGTCAACTCTAAGTAGTTGTATATGGTGTTGTGAAAATTACGATTAACTCAGTTTAATAACCTTCAGTAAAAAGTTGAGGGGACACTCGATTTTTTTTCAACCCTATTATTACTCAGAGATTCTATATTCTGTACTCTTAGTGTAGTAGCAGGAAGACTGGAAATTAGCTCAAACAAGTTACTCAGATATCTTCTCAAAAGCTTTAAAAGGTAGCGCATTGCGAAAACGGAACAAGAGACATAAAACATAACCAATTGCAGATAAATATCAGTCTTCGTTATAGTCTCGCTCTGATCAAACACTGCAAAATAGTTTCTACACCTTAGTAACCACGAGTCAGGTTACAATCAAGTAGGTTAAATGATAGATACATCCACTCCTTGACTGAGTGGCTGATTATCGAAGAGGAATTCCTCACAGTTTTGCATTATTTCAAGTTGCTACTGACATAAATTGGGGAAGAGTGTATGCAAAAAGGAATAATTTCGTATAAAATAGGGGTATATGTGTGTAGAATTCCGTCTGTGAAGGGTGAATATGTCTGTGTCACTGTAGCAGTCTTAGATACATCCACAAATATTCTTCAACCATTGGTCATTAATATCCTGCTGACCTCAGCTAAGCAAATTACACCTATATATGTGGCTGAGATCAACAGTTAAAAACTTCATGAACTGTTACCGTGTTCCTGCCTGGAAGCTTTGCTTACCTACAAACGACAGTTCATCCTTATGTGTCAGTTCATGGAGGTCATTCTACTGCATGAATTGAATTTAAAATTTGTGTTTGTTGGCAGTGATCAGCGATTTATTGTGTCCTGCTGCGTAGCACTATAGGGGAAAATCCTAGCACACTGACATCTAGACCATGATTGAACTAAGAAAGACATGTAAGATTCGTAATTCGATAACAAATAGGGATGAAACATATGGAATCTGTTGAAAATAGTGAACATGTTCGGTCTTTTCACTATATCCTTGAACGCAGTGTTCATATGTAGCAGTATATTATATTATTATTATTGTTCCCTTGGGTTCCTAGTGGAACATAGGGCTTCAACTGCACGCCTTCACTTGCTTCTGTCTTGTGCTGTACTTTTCACTTGCATCCATGTTAGTCCATACTGTTTCAACTCTTCTTCACACGATCTCCTCCATGTCACCCTTGGACTTCCCACTCGCCACTTCCCTTTCGGGTTCCACTCGAGCGTTGGCCTGACGCGCGGTGTCACCCAACGGCCTCCTCAGCGAGTGTCCAATCCATCTCCACTTTCTCCTGCATATTTGATGAGCGATTGGTTCTTGTTTTGTACCAGTACGTTGATATAATCTTGTATGTGGTATGTGTGAATTTATGTATCATATATACTCTGGGTTTTGTTCAGGGTGTTTAGAAAATTGCATTTATGACTAAATGTTTATGAATCAGTTGTAAGATAATCATCGATGCAGATCTCAGATATTAGTTAAAGTTTTAATAATATGCTTGGTATAGACATCAAGTGTTCCATCAGACTATTTAATCTTATTCCCCCCCTCTTACTTCAGATGAAAATATTGTTAAAAAACGAAAAGTTCCACCAGTCAAACGCAACTCAATTGATATTAAAGATGATTTCACTATCCCAGATAATGACCATAATGATGAGCTAATGGACTTAGATTCAGTATCTTCTGTGATAGAAAATGAATCAGAATATGAACAAGAATCCTTGTATGAATCACTTGGAGAGTCTGATGGTGGTGTATTTGATGTAAATGAACCATTGTCATCTGATGCTGAACAACAACAACAACAGCGATTTCCTTTTGTCCCAGAGGATGAATGGGGAGAGCAGGATCAAGCCGATTTATTTGAAGCTGAAAGTGATTCAGATGATTTTCAATATCCTGATGTTGATAATGATTGTCCTGATAATATTTCTGTGTCAAGTACAGTAAGTTCATTTCTTTTGTTTCTTAATTTTGACATTTTAATAAGGTTAAGTATTGAGAAAATAAGTCAGTAGAAAAAAAGTAAAATTCCCAATCACACCCTATCTAGGAGTTTTCTACATTAGCAGAAGTTAGAATTCATGGGCCATTGGATCGGGTCCTAATGTCTTAAAGATCTACGAGCTCGCTTTGTAACCGAAAGGTCCTGGGTTCGAACCCCGATGAGTGCGTACTGCTGAAGATATGAGATTTGGATTTTGTTACATTGATAAGTTGACAAGCTAATTATTGAATAAACAGTGATGCGATTCACCAATCGCATGTTGGATAGCATACTGTGATATTACATATAATGAAAGAACCAAGAAGTGTTGCTGTCTAGAAACTCACTCCTCTATATACTAGTGGTTGAACTCACCTCCAAAAGAAAAAACTCCAGTCAGCTATCATAAACTGTGCATCTCATTAATAGACAATAATAGTTCTACTGTAAGTTCATTGACTTGGATGTATTGAAGTCACGACAAAACGTGATAAAACATCATTATTAATGACTTCCTTCTGTTATAACTGAAATCATTGTTCATTCATTGAGAGACTCACTTTCGCAGCATTTTATTCATGGATTTGCTTCCAAATGTATATATTTGAGGTTGTGATGTTTGCCCTGTTCCCAAACCTATGGACTCGAAATTCCGACGAAACAATTGGCGAATGAATTTGTTTTAGTTACCGCGATGAATGCGAATACAGCTCGCGACGGTGTTGAGTTGCACTATAGAAATTGCTCAATTCATTTTTGTAAATATCAGATGGCTGTGTGTGTATGTGTGGCGCATTATTTTGGTTCCCTTACGAAACTTGTGGTATTTTTTAATAAATGCAATACCCTATTGTGATCCACAAATATGGGAAAAGAAAACAATACATCATAAAAATGTACATAAGTCAACCAAACGACCTTTTTTAGATGACGAAAGAGTATGATGTACTAGCGACTCCTTTCTTGAGAAACTTAGACTGAGGAGTGTAGAAGTGTTTCTGTATTTAGAGTTTGTTTATTCAAAAGGAGAACCTCTTTGTATATGTCATTAACTAAGACTAGTGTCAACTTCAGTCCTACCCATAGTCTTGCAACTTTGCATCGGGTTTCTGTAGTACAACCGTTTCCAATGTTTGCTGTATCGTTTTCAAGTTATTACTTAGTTGTAGGTGGAGAAGACTCGAAGGTGTTATACAACAGTGCTAACTTTGTTGGGGTTTACGGTGAGGAATTCTCATTTCACTACCGACTAAAATTTCATGCTTATCTGATCTTATTAGGTTATCATAGGATCTTTAGCTTAATCTCTCGGATCTCTGTGGTCACGAACTTGAACTTGTAAACCAACCTTTAGATTTACCTTGCTTGTTTTGGAAATACAGATTTATGTTACAAACTGAGTGAGATTGCATTTCGGTTATATCAGTCAAGTTACATAAGATTTAAGTTGTGTCGGTTAATATACCAAAAGTACGCATGTACGTGGCATTTGGTGGGTCCAAGCAGTCATGTATGGGTAATAGTGTTCAGTATATTTCGTATGGAACATACAACCTTGATGATTGTTAAACTGCATGGCTGTTCTATCATACGTCAGATTATCGATTTAATTCTGCCTTACTCGTAGATTTGGTTCAGCTTTTGTTTTCTCTTGAAATGATGCTTATCGAAAAAGAAGCAATATGGAAGAGGTTTCATGTATTATGAATTTTCAAAAGGTTATATGTCAAATTCCGCGCCTAATATTTATCGAATTGTTAACTCATTTTCTTAACTTCAGGTGTTTTAACTGTCTATTGTTTGAATTTTCAGGCATCCTCTACATATTCAAAACAATCAGTTAGCCTCTTTCCAGATGTTACTGTCGACGTAGAGTGTACTTCAGCTCGTCAAGATGATTCCAATGATGAGAAAGAAGGAAAAGAGGATCCCAGTAAGTCGATGATGAGTAGTGACAGTGAGTCAACAAATGAGAATTCGAAAACAAAGAAAAGATCTAAGAAAAAACCACTGCGTAAATCCAACAAATTAGAATTGGTCTCAAATGAATCGCCTGACAATCGTCGAAAAAGTCTTCGATCAAGTTCCAAAAAGACTACACCTAAAAAGTGAAAGGTCACTTATATATATAGAACAAGACTGTAATTATATTGTATGTATATAAAATAAACCAAGTATAATATATTTATATCTTTTATCACTGTGTTGGTGAATCGAAACAAATTATATCATATAGTTTATTGTGGATATGTATCTTAGTTTCCATTTCCATGGAATTACAGTGTATAGCATTGATTTTGTCGTTGCATTTGTGTGTTGTTAATGTGTTCTGCATTCCTAGAAAAGAACAGTAGGCGTCTTTCGATGCTTCACTTGGTTTCCGTTGTAGTGCATATGTGAAGGTGTGTTACAGTGATATCATATTTCCACTGCTTTATACAAAAAAGCAAATTTGATATACCTCTTGGCAGAGGAAGAAAGTGACCATTTTCTCCTAATATAGTGATTGTGACAACTGTTGCAGTTGTAATTTCGTGTTTGATTTGTATGTATAATTGCTGTTGCCTTTCATTGTACATAGTGTAATATAATATAGAGGAAATGATAGCCTTATATGGGTCGCTGTATTTTCAGAGGCTTTGTAAGCCTATTTGTGATACTTTAAGTATTCGTTCGACAAAAAACAGGACAATTTCTGTAAATAGTCGTATAGTTTGCTATTTCTTTGGCATGTTTTAAAAAAAATAAATGAAGACATGTGGGAAAATCGTCATCCATAAATAAACGCAGTCATATCGCTTCATGGTAAATTGTGTGACTCACTACGTTAAATTCTCACTGTTCTGAATAAGTCTTTGACGTTTATATTTGTTACTTTACTTTAAAATATCTTCAAATAAAAGTGTCGAATAAATTCAGCCAATTTGTGAACCTACACCACATGGCTGAGGGAAAAATAACTTTCATTTGTTTACGAGGATGTATAATTCAAAAAACTCGGCACTTGAATAATTGTCGCTACAAATAATGTGAAGGTGTCGTCAATATATCGCTTATACAACATATGCGAACTCGAGTTTGTTCCTTTCAATGGACCACTCTCTAAGGTCGCCATGAAGACATCTGCTAGGAGAGGTCGTAGTGGAGACACCATGGCGACTCCATCCTTTTCGATTATAAATGACATCGTTAGATCTAAACAGCACATTAAGCGTGCATCTGAATAAAATCTGCTTCAGATGGTTGGTTGGTACTCCAATGTTCGTGCATTTTAGGCCGATGTAATTGTTAATCGCGATAGATAGACTGTATGATAAACAGCCAATCAATATTATGTGACCTTTTTTGTCGCGATTATTGGTCAATTTATTGTAACTCTCACCACGTGATGACCTTGAATGTTCTTTTTTGTCTGTCACTTTACTTGTATATACATGTAATTAATTGACTGTTCATTTTGTCCGTACCTTCAATACTGTTCGGTACGTTCTTGTCCTATTTTTGTAATGACAATGGATTTGTACATTTTTCTTGGTGTAATTGTATGGTTTATTTTATGTTTTAGAAACAGATAAAGTTAAGTCAAGTCATCCTGTTTTTAACTATAGCTAAGCCGAGACTCTGTATCGTCAGTATTGAGGAGGGACTAAATCTGTAGGACAAAAATAATCCTACAAAGTTTCGAACAGTATTCCAGACGAAAGTTTCGAACAATATGGCAGACAAAAGTTATGAAACTATGCCGTCGTTAACTCCACAATTAGGAAAGAGTAATGAAGCTGATTTCCTTGGAAGCAACGAGTATGAATCACGCTATATGATAGAATTGGAGCTAGCGAAATTGCGCATAGTCCAAAAGGAGAAAGAAATGGAATTAGAAAGATTACGACAAGGTAGTCGCGAATGTTCTTGTCACAATAAATCGCCTTACAAACCTTCTACTTCTCATAAAGTCTCTGTATCTCCTAATGATGAGTTCGCCAGAACCATATCTAAGTTTCTGGACATGCTTAAAAGATATCAATATTTTAAGATGGATGCCGATGAACTTGAGTGTTGGATCAATGAAAAACTGCAAACCTATGCAAACGAGGATTTTAAAAAACTCAGTAATCTTCAGCTGAAAAAACAGAAACATCAAGAGCTTGAGTTCGAAGTAACAGTTCATGCTGAAACACTGTCAGCTCTGGATTCTGCGGGAGAAGAAATGATTAGTCAGGGGTACTACGCAACAGATATTATCAAAAACCGTCTTGATGAATTGCATGCCCTGTGGGAAAGGCTTATGGCTATTTTCAGAGAAAAATCCAGTGTCATTAACCTAAAGCTTAAATTTGTCCAGTTTTTACGCCAAGTCGACGCGATACTTTTCTGGATACGTGAAAAAGAAACTTACGTAGCATCAGAGGATTTCAGTCAAGACTTGGAACATGTTGAGACACTTCAAAAAAAGTTTGATGAGTTTATAAAGGATCTCGAGTATCAAGAAAGTCGTGCCGAAGACATCTATCGGAAGGCAGATGAACTTCTAAAAGAGGAATTTCCTGAGGATGCCCTAGTCACAGAAAAGTCCAGAGAGGTCCACGAAGCCCTAGAAAGTCTGAAAGATCTGGCTAGAAAACGACAAGGAAAGCTCCTTGAAGCCTATGAGATACAGTGCTTCTTTAGAGACACAGATAAAGCTATATCGTGGGTGAATGAAAAGTCCATTGCTTTATCCATTGAGGACTGTGGTCGTGATCTTGCCTCAGTCCAAGCCTTACAAAGGAAGCACGAAGCATTAGAAAGGGATTTGACTGCCCTAGATAAAAAGATTGTTCAACTTGGAGATGATGCTAAGGCGCTTGCACAGAAGCATCCTGATTTGCAAGACACTTTACAAGGCAAGTATGACGCCTTCATCACTGCATGGGATAAGTTGAAAAGTCAGGCTGTAGATAGGAGAGGTAAACTGGAAGAGTCATTCAAGATGCATCGCTTTTTGACTGACTGGAGAGACTTGAGTATCTGGATGAATGACATGAAAGCGTTAATATCGGTGGATGATTTGGCAAAGGATGTAGCTGGTGCTGAAGCCCAAGTAGAGCGACATAAGGAATACACCGCTGAGATAAATTCTCAAGCTGACAGTTTCGATAAATGCATGCAAGAAGGTCAGGCATTACTAAGTGTTGGCCATCCCTGTAGTGAAGACATAGTTGCTAAACTTTCCACCCTTGAAAGAGGGAGAGCTTCCCTGATGCAGTTGTGTGAGGAAAGACGTGAACAGCTAGAACAGTGTATGGGCCTTCAGTATTTTTACCGCGACGCTGAACAGTCGGAATCTTGGATTGGTAAGCAAGAGGCCCTCTTAGAAATAAATGATGTGGGAGACTCACTCGATTCTGTGGAAGCACTCATAAGGAAACATGAAGACTTCGAAAAGTCACTTTTAGCACAAGAATAAAAGATGCGACAACTTGATGAATTCGCTGCAAAACTAATCGAATCAAACCACTATGCGGCTGCACAGGTTCATGAGATTCAGGAAGGTCTCCAAAATAGACGAAATGCATTAAAGGAGAAAGCTCAGAACCGCCGTCAGCGTCTTCAAGATTCCCACCGTTACCAAATGTTTGATAGAGATGCAGATGAAATACAGTCATGGATATCAGGAAAACTTAGAAATGCACTTGATGAAAGTTACAAAGACTCCACGAATTTGCAAACAAAGATGCAGAAGCATCAGAGTTTTGAGGCAGAAATACAATCGAACCAATCCCGCTTTGAAGGTATTAAAAAGACAGGTCATGATTTGTTAAATGCAAACCACTACAACTCGCCAGCAATAAAAGTAAAGATTGAACAGTTGGATGAAACTTGGTCTCATCTCGTAAATGTCATGAGAGACAAGAAGAAAAATTTAGATCAAGCAAGTAGGCAACAACAGTTCGCTTGCAACGTAGATGTCGAGTTATGGTTGAATGCTGTTGAAGATCAGACAGCCTCTGAGGATGTCGTTCGTGATCTAAACGATGTGATGAACGTACAAAAGCGGCACAACTTGCTTGAATCTGATGTAGCTGCTCATCGTGAACGTATAGATGCATTCAAAGTCCAGCCTGACACGTTTGCTGCAGAAAGTCATTTCGACGCTCCTATTATCCAAGAAAAACAAAGACGGTTAGCCCAACGTTACCATGACCTGCAAATCCCTCTAAGTCAATGTCATGAGAAGTTAAGAGATATCCTTCCCTCAGACACATCCTTGCAGCTTGAATATGGTGACTATAGTGAGCTGATGAAGGTACTAGTCGATTGTTGTAAAGATTTTAAAGCACATTCGCTTAACCAAATGGAATCAGAAATGTGGCATCAGTATGCTGAAAGCTTCACTACTGGCTCAGTAGCCACTCACAAAGATGCCTTCAGGTTATGGGTTAAAGATAAGAACCCTGTTGTTGAAAAGTATATTGGGTTTATAGAGTCATACCGTGATCCCTTTGGTGTTCGTGCAAGGTTTGAATCATTTGTTGCTGTTGTAAATAGATCAGTGTCTAAAACATTCCAACGACTTGTGAATAATGCTGAAAGGTTGTTAACAAATTTACCATGGCCTTCTACATTTGAAAAAGTTAATTTCTTACAGCCAGACCTTACTAGTTTGGATGTAGCGACGTTTGAAACTGCTGGAATTCCTGTTAGAACTAATATTCCTAACTATTATGATGTACGACAAGTTGATGGATTTAAAAATGTTTCTTTGGATAATGTACTTAGCGTTCGTCTCGAGGATCCTAAACCGGAATTTGTACGTAATGAAGACAAACAAATGTACGTGGAACATGCTGCAAGTTCCTTTGAATTACAAGTTGGACTTCATGAACTGATGGGATATGATTCTGGCAAACTGTTTCGGCGTGATTGTTATGGAAAACGAAATTTCCACACGAAAACTACTGAGTATGTCATAAATGGAGGTCCTGTAAAAAGTTGGTGTGAACCAGGAGAAACGTATGACAGCAAGTTTCCAAACCTTCCATCTGCAATAGATAAGTGTCGAGCTGAGTGCGTTGGAATTTATTTATCTGATTTACCTCTTGTTCTGGAGCAGTTCGGTTTGAATACCAACT